TCTCTCTCTCTCTCTCTCTCTCTCTCTCTCTCTCTCTCTCTCTCTCTCCCTCTCTCTCTCCCTCTCTCTCTCCCTCTCCCTCTCCCTCTCTCTCTCTCTCTATCGTCAGACAGAGCCACAGTGACTTGTTTCTACACATATTCGTGCTGTTGAGGTACTCTTAGGGCTGGTAAGAATGAAGGGTTTAGATAGAGAAGGGACTGTAGTGTAGTAGTGGTGGGATCATGAGTATGTAACAACCCTGTGTTAGTTCATTCCAACACTGTAGATTTAGAGAACATGTTCAGGTCTTTTTCTTTCTCTGGCCTTTCTGCTTAAAGCATATCTTGGTCACGGCTTTGTTCCCCATTAGTGAATCTGTACTGTGATGTCTGCACCCTATTCCCTATGTAGTGCACTCATTCTAACCAGGATCTGGGAATAGGGTGCCATTTGGGACATAACCATGGTGACTGTCTGTCTGCTTGTCTGTCTGCCTGCCTGTCTGACTGCGGTTGAAAATTAGCCAGCTGGCTAAAACCGGCACTTTTACTGAAACGTTGGTTAATGTGCACTGTCGCTGTAAAAATAAACTCAAACTCTGTCTGTCTGCCTGCCTGCCTGCCTGCCTGCCTGCCTGCCTGCCTGCCTGTCTGTCTGTCTGTCTGTCTGTCTGTCTGTCTGTCTGTCTGTCTGTCTGTCTGTTTATCTTTCTGCATGTCTGTCTGTCTGTCTGTCTGCCTGCCTGCCTGCCTGTCTGTCTGTCTGTCTGTCTGTCTGTCTGTCTGTTTATCTTTCTGCCTGTCTGCTTATCTGTCTGTCTGCCTGCCTGTCTGTCTGTCTGTCTGTCTCTGTCTGCCTGTCTGTTTATCTTTCTGCATGTCTGTCTGTCTGTCTGTCTGTCTGTCTGTCTGTCTGTCTGCATGCCTGCATGTCTGTCTGTCTGTCTGTCTGTCTGTCTGCCTGCCTGTCTGTCTGTCTGTCTGTCTGTCTGTCTGTCTGTCTCTGTCTGTCTGCCTGTCTGTTTATCTTTCTGCATGTCTGCTTGTCTGTCTGTCTGTCTGTCTGTCTGCCTGTCTGTTTATCTTTCTGCCTGTCTGCTTATCTGTCTGTCTGCTTATCTGTCTGTCTGCTTGTCTGTCTGTCTGTCTGTCTGTCTGTCTGTCTGTCTGTCTGTCTGTCTGTCTGCTTGTCTGTCTGTCTGTCCTTGCTTGTTCTACAAAGGAACATCTTCCCTGTCTGGGCTGCTGTCAGGGCTCCAGAGTAGAATGACGGATGAGCCTGGTCTACTAGATAGCTTGAACTTTGTCTACAGTGAAACTCACTTAAAGGCAGCTTCTGTTCCAGCCTCATTCAAAGTGAAAGGTAGACAGATGAAGCCATCGTACCAGGTAAAGTGCCAGGCTTTCTTGTCTGTCTTCCTGGAGTTTTTTAACCACTGGGACATAACATGTTATTGTACCAATGGGATTCCACTAAGACCTTTCTTGACATGATGACGTCTGTGTAGAGACCTTTTAGTTAGTAACATCAGTAACACTTTATTTTAAGTTACACATATTGGCCACTCATTTGAGGTTCATAAGTGTGTATATAAGTAGCTTTATAAGGCCTTTATTATGTCTTATAAGCCATGTATTAGCGTTTTCTTATTCAAACACAAGTCATGTATATTACTACCCTCACTGTTAGTTCCAATAAATGCTTATTACCAGTTAATAAAGAGCAAGTTACACAAGAAACAGGCTCTTAGTAAGTGGTCTCAGTGTGGGGCTAATAAACAGGCTCTTAGTAAGCAGTCTCAGCGTGGGGCTAATAAACAGGATCTTAGTAAGCGGTCTCAGTGTGGGGCTAATAAACAGGCTCTTAGTAAGCGGTCTCAGTGTGGGGCTAATAAACAGGCTCTTAGTAAGCGGTCTCAGTGTGGGGCTAATAAACAGGCTCTTAGTAAGCGGTCTCAGTGTGGGGCTAATAAACAGGCTCTTAGTAAGCGGTCTCAGTGTGGGGCTAATAAACAGGCTCTTAGTAAGCGGTCTCAGTGTGGGGCTAATAAACAGGCTCTTAGTAAGTGGTCTCAGTGTGGGGCTAATAAACAGGCTCTTAGTAAGCGGTCTCAGTGTGGGGCTAATAAACAGGCTCTTAGTAAGCGGTCTCAGTGTGGGGCTAATAAACAGGCTCTTAGTAAGCGGTCTCAGTGTGGGGCTAATAAACAGGCTCTTAGTAAGTGGTCTCAGTGTGGGGCTAATAAACAGGCTCTTAGTAAGCGGTCTCAGTGTGGGGCTAATAAACAGGCTCTTAGTAAGCGGTCTCAGTGTGGGGCTAATAAACAGGCTCTTAGTAAGCGGTCTCAGTGTGGGGCTAATAAACAGGCTCTTAGTAAGTGGTCTCAGTGTGGGGCTAATAAACAGGCTCTTAGTAAGTGGTCTCAGTGTGGGGCTAATAAACAGGCTCTTAGTAAGTGGTCTCAGTGTGGGGCTAATAAACAGGCTCTTAGTAAGCGGTCTCAGTGTGGGGCTAATAAACAGGCTCTTAGTAAGTGGTCTCAGTGTGGGGCTAATAAACAGGCTCTTAGTAAGCGGTCTCAGTGTGGGGGCTAATAAACAGGCTCTTAGTAAGCGGTCTCAGTGTGGGGCTAATAAACAGGCTCTTAGTAAGTGGTCTCAGTGTGGGGCTAATAAACAGGCTCTTAGTAAGTGGTCTCAGTGTGGGGCTAATAAACAGGCTCTTAGTAAGTGGTCTCAGTGTGGGGGCTAATAAACAGGCTCTTAGTAAGCGGTCTCAGTGTGGGGCTAATAAACAGGCTCTTAGTAAGTGGTCTCAGTGTGGGGCTAATAAACAGGCTCTTAGTAAGTGGTCTCAGTGTGGGGCTAATAAACAGGCTCTTAGTAAGCGGTCTCAGTGTGGGGCTAATAAACAGGCTCTTAGTAAGTGGTCTCAGTGTGGGGCTAATAAACAGGCTCTTAGTAAGTGGTCTCAGTGTGGGGCTAATAAACAGGCTCTTAGTAAGTGGTCTCAGTGTGGGGCTAATAAACAGGCTCTTAGTAAGTGGTCTCAGTGTGGGGCTAATAAACAGGCTCTTAGTAAGCGGTCTCAGTGTGGGGCTAATAAACAGGCTCTTAGTAAGTGGTCTCAGTGTGGGGCTAATAAACAGGCTCTTAGTAAGTGGTCTCAGTGTGGGGCTAATAAACAGGCTCTTAGTAAGCGGTCTCAGTGTGGGGCTAATAAACAGGCTCTTAGTAAGCGGTCTCAGTGTGGGGCTAATAAACAGGCTCTTAGTAAGCGGTCTCAGTGTGGGGCTAATAAACAGGCTCTTAGTAAGCGGTCTCAGTGTGGGGCTAATAAACAGGCTCTTAGTAAGTGGTCTCAGTGTGGGGCTAATAAACAGGCTCTTAGTAAGCGGTCTCAGTGTGGGGCTAATAAACAGGCTCTTAGTAAGCAGTCTCAGTGTGGGGCTAATAAACAGGCTCTTAGTAAGTGGTCTCAGTGTGGGGCTAATAAACAGGCTCTTAGTAAGTGGTCTCAGTGTGGGGCTAATAAACAGGCTCTTAGTAAGTGGTCTCAGTGTGGGGCTAATAAACAGGCTCTTAGTAAGTGGTCTCAGTGTGGGGCTAATAAACAGGCTCTTAGTAAGTGGTCTCAGTGTGGGGCTAATAAACAGGCTCTTAGTAAGCGGTCTCAGTGTGGGGCTAATAAACAGGCTCTTAGTAAGCGGTCTCAGTGTGGGGCTAATAAACAGGCTCTTAGTAAGTGGTCTCAGTGTGGGGCTAATAAACAGGCTCTTAGTAAGTGGTCTCAGTGTGGGGCTAATAAACAGGCTCTTAGTAAGTGGTCTCAGTGTGGGGCTAATAAACAGGCTCTTAGTAAGTGGTCTCAGTGTGGGGCTAATAAACAGGCTCTTAGTAAGCGGTCTCAGTGTGGGGCTAATAAACAGGCTCTTAGTAAGTGGTCTCAGTGTGGGGCTAATAAACAGGCTCTTAGTAAGTGGTCTCAGTGTGGGGCTAATAAACAGGCTCTTAGTAAGCGGTCTCAGTGTGGGGCTAATAAACAGGCTCTTAGTAAGTGGTCTCAGTGTGGGGCTAATAAACAGGCTCTTAGTAAGTGGTCTCAGTGTGGGGCTAATAAACAGGCTCTTAGTTAGTGGTCTCAGTGTGGGGCTAATAAACAGGCTCTTAGTAAGTGGTCTCAGTGTGGGGCTAATAAACAGGCTCTTAGTAAGCGGTCTCAGTGTGGGGCTAATAAACAGGCTCTTAGTTAGTGGTCTCAGTGTGGGGCTAATAAACAGGCTCTTAGTAAGTGGTCTCAGTGTGGGGCTAATAAACAGGCTCTTAGTAAGCGGTCTCAGTGTGGGGCTAATAAGGGCCGTAAGTACTGTAATATGTGTTCCCTATTCTAAAGTGTGACCATATTTTTACTTGGCAAACTTTTTTCCAGAAATGGCCTCATTGGACAGAGAGGGGCGCGCCTCCCCTCATATATGCCATACAAGCAACAGTCAAGTCGAAATGTAATGCTTTAATAACCTCCATTAAACAAATAAGACGTAACAAAGGCCTTAAAATAAAGTGTTACCTTAACATCTATAGTTTTCCCATTCCAAGTAACCCATTTCTTTATTGTGCATTTACGGTATTGAATGTCTAAACCATAGGCTCTTGGCGTTACCAACTGCGGTCTGAAACCAGGTGTCTGGCAAGCTACAACGCTGTGTGAACCCACTGAGCTAAAGGCTACACGCAATCGCTCAGGGGAGCCAACACAAGCCTTCAGGTCTTATTTCCCTCATTAAAATCCAAATCAATTTATAACATTTTTGACATGCGTTTTTCTGGATTTTTTGTTGTTGTTTTTCCTGTCTCTCACTGTTCAAATAAACCTACCATTAAAATTATAGACTGATCATGTCTTTGTCAGTGGGCAAACGTACAAAATCAGCAGGGGGATCAAATACTCCCCCCCCCCCCCCCCCCCCCCCCCCTCACTGTATGTCTTACCGCACTCATCAGGGAATCCAGCACACTGACTGCGAAAGCCGTCCCACAGGCGAAGGGCTGAGTGAGGTACAACTCTGTGTCAGGGTCATCATCGTCATCCTGGTCCAGGAACTGAACATTGGAGTCGTTCACTGGTGGGGAAGACATTAAAAATATTGACATATTGATATGTATGCTACTACAGTGTCATAGCGTAGCATGACAGTCAGGCTGTTCGATATACAGTATAGTATAACTCCATTTGATCAACAGTTCAACCATATGGAGGAAATAATGATCATGCATAACATATACTTGTACACACAGACTTGCAGTAAATGTGCAACTTAATATGAGAACATTATTCACATCCAACAGCGATTGTGAAGCGTCACAGATTCAGTCATTGGTTACGTACACAATGCCTGATGACACAGATTCTTTAAACAGCCAATGACTGTGGATATGGATTGATATGAGAGTGAGAGGTGATTTCATATTTCATAAGTAGACATTCAAATCATTTTTGTTACTTGGAGAAGATCTCAAATGTTTATAGGCATCTTCTATGGAAGCAAACATATATTGTATCTACGAGTATTGTCTCTACGAGTATTGTCTCTACGAGTATTGTCTCTACAAGTATTGTCTCTACAAGTATTGTCTCTACGAGTATTGTCTCTACGAGTATTGTCTCTACGAGTATTGTCTCTGGTTGGCTTTGTGTTCAGCTGTTACAGCCCATATACTGGCTGTTCATGCACTCATGACTTCATGCATATTAAAAGCCTCAAGCTTTGAACTTCAACACAATCTACAGTATCAACAACACCAATAAGACATTGTTTTGTCTTGGAAATACAGTAAATATAGATATAAGTCTTGTTACATATCTTTGTTTTACCGCCCCAAAAACGATGTCAATATTTTTGAAATACACCTTTGAGCACAAAAAAACACCTACAGCTTTTATAAAGAAAGTACTGATGTTGAGTTTTGTTTCAGAAGTGCTACTTCTGTCAGGACTTCCAGCCGCATGCGAAAATAAACATCAGTCAGATTTGACAAGAGTCCGATGAAAGGAAGGAGGTCATTGGCCAGAGAAATTATCTATGAACAACTAATATGCTACTATGGAAACAGAACTAAGATGCTACTATGGAAACAGAGAATATGATCTATGAAGAACTAAAATGATGCTATGGAAACAGAGAATATGATCTATGAAGAACTAAAATGATGCTATGGAAACAGAGAATATGATCTATGAAGAACTAAAATGATGCTATGGAAACAGAGAATATGATCTATGAAGAACTAAAATGATACTATGGAAACAGAGAATATGATCTACAGTATGAACAACTAAGATGCTACTATGGAAACAGAACTAAGATGATACTATGGAAACAGAACTAAGATGATACTATGGAAACAGAACTAAGATGATACTATGGAAACAGAACTAAGATGATACTATGGAAACAGAACTAAGATGATACTATGGAAACAGAACTAAGATGATACTATGGAAACAGAACTAAGATGCTACTATGGAAACAGAACTAAGATGATATTATGGAAGCAGAACTACTATGGCAACAGAACTAAGAAGCTACTATGGAAAAAGAGAATATGCTCTATGAAGAACTAAGATGATACTATGGAAACAGAACTAAGATGCTACTATGGAAACAGAGAATATGATCTATGAAGAACTAAAATGATGCTATGGAAACAGAACTAAGATGATACTATGGAAACAGAACTAAGATGATACTATGGAAACAGAACTAAGATGATTTCTTTACAGCAATTTGACCATGAAGGCCTGATTCACGCAGTCTCCTCTGAACAGTTGATGTTGAGATGTGTCTTTTACTTGAACTCTGTGAAGCATTTATTTGGGTTGCAATTTCTGAGGTGCAGTTAACTCTAATGAACTTCTCCTCTGCAGCAGAGGAAACTCTGGGTCTTCCTTTCCTGTGGCGGTCCTCATGAGAGCCAGTTTCATCACAGTGCATGATGGTTTTTGCGACTGCACTTGAAGAAACTTTCAAAGTTCCTTCATGTCTTAAAGTAATGATGGACTGTCATTTCTCGTTGCTTATTTGAGCTGTTCTTGCCATAATATGGACTTGGTATTTTTACCAATAGGGATATCTTCTGTATACCACCCCTACCTTGTCATAAAACAACTGATTGGCTCAAATGAATTAAGAAGGAAAGAAATTCCACAAATTAACTTTTAACAAGGAACACCCGTTAATTGAAATGCATTCCAGGTGCCTACCTCATGAAGCTGGTTGAGAGAATGCCAAGAGTGTGCAAAGCTGTCATCAAGGCAAAGGGTGGCTACTTTGAAGAAACTTTTTTGGTTACTACATGATTCCATGTGTTATTTCATAGTTTTGATGTCTTCACTATTATTCTGCAATGTAGAAAATAGTAAAAAATAAAGAAAAACCCTTAAATGAGTAGGTGTGTCCAAACTTTTGACTGGTACTGTATACTGGCTGTTAGACAATGTTCATATATCATGATTATCAATGACGTCAAGAAGTTTGTATGACATTTTAATTTGCATTGCAAAATTCTGGTAACTTTCCCAAAATTCTCAGATTTTCAACAAATCCTGGTTGAAGGATTTCCTGCTTATTCCCTCACGCTTCCAGGAATCTTCCAACTGAGATTTCTGGAAAACCTGGGAATGTTGGGAAAGTTGCCAGAATTTTGCAACCCTACCTGCAAGTCACATTATTCTGGTTTACAATGTGATGTGTAATTCCTATTTGAACTCAGACAGAATTAGGATATCCAACAGATGGAATTTTTATTCACCCACAACCTGCATTCATAAAGACCGGCAGGGTTAGGAACATTGTGAGGAGACTACCTAAGCCATCTAAACTGGAACAACCATTTCAGTAATGGTGCAAAAAGTCTGATTGGATTAGTTTCGAAAAATGTATGTTATTTATCTTTGTGTAGCATAAGATTAATGAATCAATTAAATTACATGCAAAAACACAGATATTAAAAACAATTCTACAATCAACCTGCAGTAGAGCATTCTGGGAATTATTATAATAATTATGGTCCAAATGTGCCTTTTATTGGTGCCTTTAGGTTAAAGAAATTCTGCCATGGTGGGTATTGAGGGTACACAAAATATGTTTGTACCCTGGGAAACATTTACATTTTAGTCATTTAGCGGATGCTCTTGTCCAGAGCGACTTACAGGAGCAATTAGGGGTAAGTGCCTTGCTCAAGGGCACATCAACAGAGCCTTGTCGGCTCAGGGATTCGAACCAGCAACCTTTAAGTTACTGGACCAACACTCTAACCACTATGCTTCCTGCCGCCCAGAAATATACCTTCACACCGTACCCGTGTTGTTGAGAGTGAGTGTGTGATTATTGAACTTTTATATTCAAAATATTGGGTACAAAAATGTACCATTATACTCTTCAGCCGCACATGTACCCTAAAAGGTACCGAACAGTACCATGCGAGATTATATGTGTACCTCTGAAGGTACATTATGTGTATTTTAATATTTTTGTACAATAGGGGACAATAATGTACCCTAACCATACCCTTATTTCTAAGTGTATGAAAACAGAACGAAGGTGCTACTATGGAAACAGAACTAAGGTGCTACTATGGAAACAGAACTAAGGTGCTAATATGGAAACATAACTAAGATGCTACTATGGAAACAGAACTAAGTTGCTCCTATGGAAACAGAACTAAGGTGCTCCTATGGAAACAGAACTAAGATGCTACTATGGAAACAGAACTAAGGTGCTCCTATGGAAACAGAACTAAGGTGCTCCTATGGAAACAGAACTAAGATGCTACTATGGAAACAGAACTAAGATGCTACTATGGAAACATAACTAAGGTGCTCCTATGGAAACAGAACTAAGGTGCTCCTATGGAAACAGAACTAAGGTGCTCCTATGGAAACAGAACTAAGGTGCTCCTATGGAAACAGAACTAAGATGCTCCTATGGAAACAGAACTAAGATGCTCCTATGGAAACAGAACTAAGGTGCTCCTATGGAAACAGAACTAAGATGTTCCTATGGAAACAGAACTAAGATGCTACTATGGAAACAGACACAAGGACTTGTATTGAGAAAGAAAAGAAACTGAGGAAAAACAAGACAGTCAACAAGAGAACCCAGAGTTGCATAATGCAATGTGCTCAAAGTGAATGAACCAGACTAAGGCTACATCCCAAATGGCACCCTATTCCCTACATAGTGCACTACATAACAAATAGAGTGCTATTTGGGGTGCAGCCTAGGCCTCTTGGACCAGGAAGCCAGAGAAATCAAAAGGAAGCTTTTTTGGAGGAGGATGAGGCGGCGGCTCGGCGGCTGCAGATCAACACTGAGGCAGTGGCTTCTTACCCAGCTCTGTTATTATTTGTATGTTGATCCTACTGCTTGTATCCTGACTGAATGAAACCACAGGCAGGACTTTGGCTGCTGGTTTTGCTAACGGTGCTACAGACAAGTGTCAGGGAGAAATAGTTACGGGATGAAGCATGTTCAAGAGGTTAAGATTAGATTAATTTATCAGTCATGAATGGTTGAAAACATGAAAATCACCTTCACAATGTTAGAAAGTACAGATTGACTGAGGAATTCTGGTCTGTTTAGTTGATTAAAAACCTGAAACATCCGTACTATACCACACTGGATTAGATTAGATTAGAAAAACTTTAATATTCTCAATGAGGCAATTCATTTTTGGTGTTTTTTTCATCACTCTATATAAACTATACAAAAAAAAAATGATGTATATAATTCCATGAAACCTTCCTTTTCACCCATTTCACCCTCTTTAAGGACAATGCCAAAGTGACATTTCATTCATACCTGCTGACATACCTAGTTCAGTGATAATGGGGACGTTGGCTCCTGTTGTGATGGAAGCCTGTCGGGCCAAGCCCCCGTGAACTGGACTGTTTTCAGGAGAGGACCTGTCCATGCCTGGCAGGGTGAAACCTACATGGAAACATACATAGGTGCCTATGACTCCCTACGACAGATGATATAATGCCTTATTTTAGCTGTTATGAAGGCCTTATGAATGCATACACTGTAAGGCCTACAGTAACGTGTTAACACAAACCATATTCATTTTACGAGGCACTTATCTATTCTCTGAAGAACGTATAGTGGTAGAAAGAAAATGGAATTGATATGATGATTTATCAGTACGGTATAACATATTTTAGCCATTCTTGGTCACATTCAAGTCATTTGAAGTAGGACAATATTACACAATGTTGAGAATTCAGCTATATTCATGAGAGTTGCCTCCATCCGCAAATATAACCTAGTAAATGTTACATGTTGCTCATTTTGTTTTCCGTCAAAGTGTCACCGTCTAAAAATCTTGTCATACATAACATAGCCACGAAACAACAAATACAAGTGACGTGAGAGTGAATTTAAATTGACTTGACGTCCCTTTCCTCTCCTCAGACTGACAAGTAACCACATAAGCCTGTGTTTCGACATCTGTCACTTGCTGCTGACTAAGCCAAACCACTAGGTCATACGAGTATTAGAGGAACAACCAAAGTGCGAGGACCTTTTTTTCTTTCAGGTCCCTAAAAGCATTACATTATGTGCCAGGACAGGAATGACAGTCCATTATTGAAGCCCATCTCTCTTCACTTCCACTCCTCACACGATGTCAGGAATTGTTTGATATAATATTAAAACATGATGTTTTGGGGTAAGATTGATTACAAAATAATAATAATAATAATAATAATCAAATTTGTATTATAATCTACAATTTAATTTGCTTTATGCCAGGATAATGCCAATTACCAACCAGTAGCGATCTAGTCATTGTAACCCGAGGAACAATCATCACCAGGGGTTCCTGTCAAACACACACACACACGCACGCACGCACACACACAAACACAAACACACACACACACACACACACACACCACACACACACCACACACACACACACACACACACACACACCACACACACACACCACACACACACACACACCACACACACCACACACACACACACACCACACACACCCCACACACACACACACACCACACACACACACACACACACACACACACACACACACACACACACACACACACACCACACACACACACACACACAGGGATATTTTTCCTGCCAGGACCTGTAGAGCATTGAGGTAGCCTGCAACACCCCTTCCTTACCTTGGGAGGTAGCCTGCAACACCCCTTCCTTACCTTGGGAGGTAGCCTGCAACACCCCTTCCTTACTTGGGAGGTAGCCTGCAACACCCCTTCCTTACCTTGGGAGGTAGCCTGCAACACCCCTTCCTTACCTTGGGAGGTAGCCTGCAACACCCCTTCCTTACCTTGGGAGGTAGCCTGCAACACCCCTTCCTTACCTTGGGAGGTAGCCTGCAACACCCCGATGCTGTCGTCAAACTGCATGGACTTGATGTTGAGTGACGCCAGGATGCATTCCTTGTCCTGCAGTGAAGCGTCGTCGATATTGCTCTGATTGGCCGACAGGATGACACACATGTCACAGAGGTTGATATTGACGGCCCTCAGATCGGCCCGGCTTAACGGTGTGCCCTGTGACAGGAGATGACCAAACATTATGTTATTCTATAATAATTATAACAGTAGTTATAGTTTAGGAGAGTTATAATAAGATGAGCAAAGATAATGTTATTTTTTTTATAATACCTTGTACAACATTGTACATAAAATAGACATAGATGGCTTTTAACAAGAAAATCAGTCGCCAATTGGATGGAAACCCAGTAGACCCAGCTGCTATCACATTGGTGTCTATGGGAGAGCCACTCCCTTAAGTAGACGGGAACTGAGAACATTTGAACATGATAACATTTAAAGGTGTAAACAGCGATGTAACATTAAATAAAGACAGTTATTGTATAGAGAGTGAATGGTCACATCGCATCGCTGAGTCTCTGTTTCAGTTAGTTCATTCATAACACGGTCCAACATACACCCACACAGTCGTGAAGAAGGCACGGCAGCGCCTCTTCCACCTCAGGAACCTGAAAAAGATTTGGCATGGGCCCTCAGATCTTCAAAAAGTTCTACACCATCGAAGAGCATCTTGACTGGCTGCATCACCGCTTGGTGTGGCAAATGCACCGCCCTTGACCGCAAAGCGCTACAGAGGGTGGTGCGGACACCCCAGTACATCACTGGGGCCGAGCTCCCTGCCATCCAGGACTTCTATACCAGGCGGTGTCAGAGGAAAGCCCCAGAAATTGCCAAAGACTCCAGCCACCCAAGCCATAGAGTGTTCACTCTGCTACCGTCCGGCAAACGGTACCGGAGCATCGGCTCTTTGACCAACAGGTTCCGAGACAGCTTCTACCCCCAAACCATAAGTCTGCTAAATAACCAGACTGCTAAACAATCAATGAATGGTACCCGAACTATCTATACGGACCCTACGCACACTCACTAGACTATATATACACACCATATACACACTTTACCCTGCCTTCATGTACATATCTACCTCAAATACCTTATTATTATCTATCCTGATGCCTAGTCACTTTACCCTGCCTTCATGTCTACCTCAAATACCGTATTATTATCTATCCTGATGCCTAGTCACTTTACCCTGCCTTCATGTACATATCTACCTCAAATACCTTATTATTATCTATCCTGATGCCTAGTCACTTTACCCTGCCTTCATGTCTACCTCAAAATACTTATTATTATCTATCCTGATGGCCTAGTCACTTTACCCTGCCTTCATGTCTAACTCAAATACCTTATTATTATCTATCCTGATGCCTAGTCACTTTACCCTGCCTTCATGTACATATCTACCTCAAATACCTTATTATTATCTATCCTGATGCCTGGTCACTTTACCCTGCCTTCATTCAGGACATATCTACCCTCAAATAACTTATGTATTTCTATCCTGATGCTAGTCCACTTAAGCCCTGCTTCATGTACTCCCTCAATACCTCGTACCTCTGCACATTTATCTGGTATTGTACTCCCTGTATATAGCTCCACATTGATCTGGTATTGTACTCCCTGTATATAGCTCCACATTGATCTGGTACTGGTACTTCCTGTATATAGCTCCACATTGATCTGGTACTGGTACTCCCTGTATATAGCTCCACATTGATCTGGTACTGGTACTTCCTGTATATAGCTCCACATTGATCTGGTACTGGTACTTCCTGTATGTAGCTCCACATTGATCTGGTATTGTACTCCCTGTATACAGCTCCATTGTTGTGCATTTTATTTTATTCCTCTTGTGTTACTATTATATTTTTTAGTTTTAACTCTGCATTGTTGGGAAGGGCTCGTAAGCAAGCATTTAATGGTAAAGTCTACACAAGTTGTATTCGGCACATGTGACAAATACATTTTTATTTCTTGATTTGATTTGATTCCTTTTGTGTCTTTCTTCTGGAGGAAAACACACTGACGACATCAATTTTCAAAATGTGATTTAGCTCTACTCACAGGTAAGATGGAGACTTTGGGGAAGTTGTGAAGGGTCTCCCATTCCCTCTTTAGATACTCCAGAGAACCCACAAACACGATGGGTTTCAGCTCGTGGTAGTGGAAGTTGCTAGCTCTCAGAGGCATCACGAGGTTCCTAAGGCCCACCAAAGCCGACTTCGCGTCTCCAAATATACAGACGACCACGTGGCCGCTTAGAACTGTCATGGCCGCTTCACTCCGGGTCTGCATTGGGTCAGACAGAACCAAACGGGATTGTAAAATTACCACAATGCAACTTTTATTGTCTAATTTGAATTGTAAAACGTGTCTATTACAATTGAGCAATGTGTTCAGGTGATTTATTTTCATTCAGTTAATCTGAATATCTTAGAAAATAAATTGTCCATTAAAATGATGATTAGCCCACTGTAATATTTATAGACTGTCATTGTAATTAAGAAAATTGCAATATAGCACATTGGTATAAGAAATGTCCTATACACAGGACTCCCCCAGTGGAGCAAATGGCATGTCAACCACCTCATTACAACGTGTTTAACTACCTGTCTGGTGGAACTTTGGGATACGACAAATCTATTCACAGGGAGAGAACCGTGTCACTGGACGCGTTCCAAATGTCACACTATTCCCTTTATATAGTGCACTACTGTTGACCAGGGCCCATACGGGGGAAAAAAAAAAAAAAAGTAGTGCACTATGTAGGGAATAGGGTGCCATTTTGGGACACACCCGCTGATGAATGACCACCTCAGCGTGAGGGAGTGAGGTACCCACCAACATGACCTTCTCGATGTCTTTGGACTGGCACCAGTGGAACATCCCTGTGGAGTCGTATTTCTTCACGTTCACATCCATGTTCTCAATCTGTTCATTCCCCGGCATGAGGAGAGGATCATGCCTAATCAAAACAAAAGAAGGAGGGAGAGAGAGAGAGGGGAGGAAGAGAGAGAGAGGAGAGAGAGAGGAGAATAGAGATGAGAAGAGAGAGGAGAGAGAGGGAGAGAGAGGAAGATAGAGAGATAGAGAGAGAGTATAGAGACATAAGGAGGGCTCACTGAAGACTTTTCAGCGATCAACCCTCTCTCTTCTCTCTCTCGCTCTCTCTCCTCTACCTTCTCTCCTCTCTCCTCCTCTGCTTTCCTCTCTCTTTCTCTCTCTCTCTCGCCTGCTCCTCCTCTCGCTCTCTCTCTCTCTCCTCTCTTCTCTCTTCTCTCTCTCTATCTCTCTCTCTCTCCCCTCTCTCGCTCTCTCTCCTCGCTCTCCCTCTCTCTCTCCTCTCTCTTCTCTCTCTCTCTCCCTCTCTCCGCCTCCCTCTGCCCTCTCTCTCTCTTTTTTTTTTTCGCCTCTCTCAGTTCCTCTCTCTCTCTCTCTCTCCGCTCTCTTCCTCTCTCTTTCTCTCTCTCTCTCTCTCTATTTCTCTCTCTCCTCTTCTTCTTCTCACTGCCTTTCTCTTTTCTTTCTCCTCTCCTTATCTCTCTTCTCGCTTCTCTCTCTTCTCTCTCTTCCTCTCTCTCTCTCTCCCTTCCTCTCTTCGCTCGTCTCACATCCCTCCTTAGCTAATTTTTCCCCCTTTTTTGATAGGATCTTGTCGTCGTTGTGTCCTTTTAAAACGTAATGAACTGCCGCGTTGTCGGCGGCCGCTGCTCAATATTTGAACATCAAGGCGAAGGGATTATTAGGCAATAAATTGAGGAGCATTATTTATATACGGTCGTATAACTGGAAAGTGGATCGTTGGTTGGTGAGACATATTCTTCTGGTTTATTTCGGAGCAGATAGATGCGTGTACTGTATATCATGCATAAAAGCACAAGAGAAAGGACTTCAGGATACTAAAGGATGTTTAGTTTACATCTCAGAAGAACCTTCAGGTCAGGGAACCTGACTGCTGCTTACAGTACGGGTGTGTCCCAAAGGCATCCTATTCCCTATTTAGTGCACTACTTTCACCAGGGCCCTATGGGCCTTGGTCTAAAGGAGTACGCTATATAGGGAAAGGGTGCCTTTGGGACAAAAAAAACGATGTGTTCGGGCCCTCTTTCACGGGTGTTAAGTGTCCCTGCACTCAACATAGCACTTTAACTCCTTTTGGGTTTTCACATATCAGCATGACTGTTTCTATCCTCAAAACACACTCATCAATATAATATTAGAAACATTTTAGGGGATCTGCAAACAAATCACTTTTACTCAAAGCCAAAAGCTTTTTCGTGTTTTTTTTTTTTCCCCAGGCTTTTTTTCTCTGGTTATTCCTGTCAGAAGTGATCAGTGGAGACGCCAACCAACCGTCATCAGACTGAGTGACATCTAGGACAGTGGTGAGGCGAAAGGAAGGAGATTGCAGCAAAACACTGTCTCTGGGTGCATCCCAAATGGCACCCTATTCCCTATATTGTATAATCCTTTAGACCAAGGCCCATGGGGTTCTGGCCAAAAGTAGTACACTGTATAGGGAATGGGGTGCCATTTGGGACAAACCTTCCGACTGGCATTAGCATGGAGAATTACAGCCTCCTTACAGCATGCAGCTTCTGACGGTGTGCTCCTCACGGTAAAAACTTTTAACAGACCGCACTTAATGTTTCAGCAATTTGCCCAATCATATTTGCTTTCTAAACTGAAGGCCATTAATGTTTTAGCATCCAAGTATGTGTGTGTCAGGACCGAACAAATTATTTTTTACTGAGCGCGGTTATGAGCATCTGAGCTTGATGCTATCGTACACTGACCACTGAAATGGTCTCCGAACAAGGGTACCTGTGTTTGTAGTGTGTGTTGACGCTAAAACAGAGATGAGATTTTGAAAACAGTTGTAATATCCATGTTGTGGAGGCAGATAGGGGAGAGGAAAGTCATCTCATTTCACATGGGGACAATCTTTAAAGCTCATTTTATACGGGATAAATTATTGTGTTTTAGGATATAACGCCTAACCACCAAGCGCTACAGGACTAGACAAAAAAGCATGCCTTTTACCAGATTTATCTTTGAAAATAAATATTTGAATAATCTACTTTTAGTTCCGTACATCGTCACTAGCTTTTGTTACAACATGGATTTGTCAAATACTGAAGATTATACTCTCTGAAATCTAGACAGGAAACATCTGTCATCATCCCTTTAAATACTTCATATATTTTATTAGTTAAGAGCACTGTATCTTTGATCTGTATGGACACTAGAAGAATGGCACCCTAAGTAAGGTTTTAAGTATGCATGACGCTGTCAACTGAAACTACAATCCCTCAGGCTCCACGAGACAGGAGAGCTGAAATGTCTGTCTGTGGGGATTTACCCCAAGGCTAGAGGCATAATGTCTGTCTGTGGGGATTTACCCCAAGGCTATAGGCATAATGTCTGTCTGTGGGGATTTACCCCAAGGCTATAGGCATAATGTCCTCCCTCTCAGGAAAGTAGTAGAACAACGCAGGCAAACGTCTTCTTTAAAATGCTTTCTACTTCTCAACCTCCAATCTGTCAGGAGAACTCAATTCAAAATTCAAAATGACCCGGATATGTGAGAGACACACAAAAGGTTGTGTTTAAATGGGGATAGCTGAGGTAAAGGGTCAAGTTTTGGTTGTAATAATACACAGTGCATTACTTCAATATGTGAAGATACACGACATGACATAAAAGTATGTGGACACCTGCTCATTGAACATCTCATTCCAAAATCATGGAGTTGGTCTCCCCTTTGCTGCTATAACAGTAGATTATTCAAATATTTATTTTCAAAGATAAATCTGGTAAAAGGCATGCTTTTTTGTCTAGTCCTGTAGCGCTTGGTGATTAGGCGTTATATCCTAAAACACAATAATGTATCCCGTATAAAATGAGCTTTAAAGATTGTCCCCATGTGAAATGAGATGACTTTCCTCTCCCCTATCTGCCTCCACAACATGAATATTACAACTGTTTTCAAAATCTCATCTCTGTTTTAGCGTCAACACACACTACAAACACAGGTACCCTTGTTCGGAGACCATTTCAGTGGTCAGTGTACGATAGCATCAAGCTCAGATGCTCATAACCGCGCTCAGTAAAAAATAGTTTGTTCGGTCCTGACACACACAACGCTTGGATGCTAAAACATTAATGGCCTTCAGTTTAGAAAGCAAATATGATTGGGCAAATTGCTGAAACATTAAGTGCGGTCTGTTAAAAGTTTTTACCGTGAGGAGCACACCGTCAGAAGCTGCATGCTGTAAGGAGGCTGTAATTCTCCATGCTAATGCCAGTCGGAAGGTTTGTCCCAAATGGCACCCCATTCCCTATACAGTGTACTACTTTTGGCCATTTTAAATACAGTACTTCTTTACAGAAATGTATACTGTTAAACCAACGTTTCATTGGAATTTACACTATAATTGAAGCAGTTAAGCCTAAAATCACCCAGAGTGCATGGTGATTTACAGCTATTTACTGTAAATAATTAATATGGTACATTGCTGTTAGTTCTATTGTATAAAACTGTTTTTTAAAAAGACATGATTTTTAACAGTGTACCCAGCAGCTGCTGAACAATTTCTTCCACTTCACTGCCGCATCAAGAAGATATTTACTACAATAGTCTGCTTTATGTGTCTCATCATGAGGTTGGCCCCTGAAACAGATTTGTTTTAATCTACAGTAGGCATAAGTTATTATTGTAAATAAATACAGTATGTTTTATATGATGCTTCCAATTACAGTAAATAATTGTATTTTTCAGCATTTCACCCATAATGCAATGCAATCCACAACATTAATTCTGTAAAACACATTTAAGTTATTTTACTGTGCATTCTACATTGTTTTACTGTTGAAATGACAGAAAATACGTACAGTGTTTGGTTATACCTCTAGTTCAATGTATGTACAGTACAACAATGTCAACCATTAGCTCCTTATTCTGAAATGTAAACATTTTGGCCGATCTAACATCATCAATTGACTTTTATTGTATTTTTTTGGGACCTTTATTTGACGGTATTATAAATCGGTATGAAGGTGAGAGGAAGAGCAGAACAGATGCTAATAAGAGTGAAAGCATTAGTGGTTTTACACCCCAGGAACATATTTCATTACCAGCACACGTTTCACCACTCACTCAGTGGAGGCCTGTCACTTCAATCTGCGCTCCCCGCCATTACTGCCGAGTGAGGCACAGACTCTGTCTGCCAAGATGGCTATCTCTCGCAGTCTCAGACAAACTGTGTCCCGAACGGCGCCCTATTCCCTATATA